GGAAATTCTAATAAAAAAATAGAATATAGAGATATACATAACACAACCATTGGGTTGCCTCATAACGCCACATAGTTACAAAATATCATCACAACTGCTGCTCTTAAGTTCTCATTGCTGTTCAAAAATAACAACACATAATAAAAAGCATTATAAAGCCATATACATTTTCTTACCTATGATAAACACTTACCATATAAAATGTTAATAATATTTTGTAATTTAAATTTTTTTTCTTCAAAAGAAAACTTTTTGTTTTATAATTTTTCATCAGTTTAGTTATTTGCGTAATACATTTTCTTTCACAGTCGCTTTCATTTAGTTATAATTATTGTACAACTTGAGTTATTTCAATCTTCAACAATCTGCAACAGTAAAAGTTTATGTAGTAATAAATCAAGTAGTGTCTTGCACCTCAAAATTTATTCCAAAAATAGATATTTATACTTGCATTACCTTTGTCTGTTAAGATTTTCTACTTCTTCTTGCAAACTTTGAATACAAAATCGATATTTATATTATAATGGTAATTTAAAATATTTTTTTGTACATACTAAAGTAAGTTTTGTGACTATATTAATTGTATCAAATCGAATATGAAACTTCTTAAAGGTAGTATATTGCATATTCTGATTTATTCTTAATACCATATATGGCATCTATAAATATATTTGGGCTTTGTAATTAATATGTTTGAATGATATAATTTATTTGCTCATTCTTTTTTACATATTAGCTTGCATACAGTTATATATGCAATTGCCATGAGCATTTCAAATATATTTAATAGTCCTGAGCCAAGCTGTTAAAATTTGGAAGGGTGATTATATCACTCATATTGAAAGAGAACTTTTGAAAAAGCATGGTATTGATATTTACATATATATAAAGTTTTATTTCAAATTTTCATTTATACAAATTGTACTATGGATTAAGTCAAACATTTTGATCAATATATATATCATATATATATATATATATATATATATATATATATATATATATATATATGTATAACACTGATTTTTTGTGGCTTGTAAATGCATGCATTTATAAAAACACATACATGTACAACAATTAAATTAAACACTTAATATAAATTCATTTCATAATCTGAAATTATAATTATCTTCAACTATATACCTTATGTAAGATATAATTTACAACAAAAATATAAACATTTGTCCATATATAGAGCACAAGCTTGATATATTACAAACACATTCTCTGCATATATATTCTCACAGAATAATAATTATATATGTATTTCCTTATAAATCGTTAAAAATCAGCGTCTGTAATACCCGTGCCTTTGATTATGAGGCTTATGCCTCCCCCTATTAAAGGCACCTCTATGATTATTGTAAGAGTTTCGATGATGATTATTGTAAGGTCTCCCATGATTTCCTTGATGGTGCCACCTCGAGTCTTGATTTTGTCGTGAATTCTGATACTCCTGGAATGGATTGTAACCAGGATTGTCACGACCTTGGTAATGAAAAGATTTCACCTTCTTTGTTCTTCCTTGATCTATTTCATCAACAGGTCTTTTCCTTTGCTCCCTGCGCTCTTCAGCAATCTGCAATAATAAATAAGTCATGTATTTAAATAATGCATCTACAAAGCTTATTATTCATTGTAATACATCGTTATTAATTACAAAAATGTAGTGACTAAATATTAACATAATATGCAATACCAAAGAAAAGTGAAACAAAAAATACAAAAATTAAATATACATATTTTTGATATATAAGCAGAAATTCAGTTATGACCAACTAAATATAAAATCAATAAGTATTACATTGAACATAATACAAAAGATATTTTTCATACCGAATTAAGAAAGCAGTAAATATTCTGATAATGATGTTACCTCTTTTTCCAAATGAGATCTTTCACCGTTCCATGTAGGAACTGGAGCTGAATATCCTTGGTGTGACATTCGTAACAATTGTCTAACGGTATCTGATGATTCTGCTATTTTTATGGGACTCTTATCATTGTCCGAATTCACTTTCTTCTTTGGAGATCTGCAAGTCTTACCATTCAGACTAGGACTTAAAGCAGCTGGATTTTTGGTACTAGATACAGTCCAACCAGGTATAATTGAGATCTCTTGTTTCTTATTAGCCATATCGACTTCAGAATTTGAGTCATCTGACCCATCATATGGAACTAAACTTTTAACATTTGAGGTAGTTGTGTTGCTAGGTTGGCCATTCACTTTCAAAAGCTGTATTTGTTTATTGACACTATCTATCTGTGGTTGTTTTGTAATATTTATATCTGATTTAAAGGAAGTTATACCATTTAGGTTTTTAGAACCTTGAGAAGAAAATATATCAGCTGTTGATTTTTTTTTCGTATTTGACTCCAAGTCTATAATAGGCATAGATTTATTTTGCTGATAACTATTCAAACTAACACTGGGCTTAACCAATTTACTTCCATTTGTTATTATTGATTTAGAAAGCAATCCTGGAGATTTTGGTATTAATGGACTATATTTAGTATTATTATTATGGCTTTTGCTCAATTCCTGGCTGTTATACCCTGGAGGTAACACTGGACCTATAAATTTTTTCTTGTTTTCATCACCATTCTTATCTACAAGTTCTATGTCATCAGAAAATGGTTTCAAAGTTGGAGTGAAGGTTTTAACTTTCTCGTTGTTGTTTACTGCAGATATCAACTTATGCTGATTATTATTTGAAGAATTATTAGCAAGACTATGCGGGGACAATGTGTGAGAGGCTAATGTGGCTGTTTTCTCTAATTCATAAAGCATTATATATGCATTTGTTGCTAAAACTGAAGTTAATGGCAGTGAACGAACCTAAAAAATAATTAATTACTGTATAAAATGTTTATCAAATGTCTATCAAAAATCAAATATATCATAAAAATATATTCAATTATCATTTAAGTTATTTCACAGCTTGATCAAATATTCAATTTTAAAAATCCTTTCAGCAAATAAAATATTTCATATACTAAAATAAAAATAAAGAATATTTAAATAAGGAATAATTCATTGTTAATAAAAAATTATTACTTACCGAGCTATCATCAAACTGATAGTAGCTCCCATCACAAGACTGTCCAATAGCAGTATAATGTCCACAGTTTTGTGAAGATCCTATATGAGTAACCATTGCCACAAGTCTGTAGGTCAGTGGAATGATCTTTCTATTACAATAAAATTTACTTATATCTAACTTTGAACTAAACTCTATGTGTTTGTTAATTTTATTCCCAATCATAGAAAATCTCTTCAATTGTATACAGAGAACACTTGGAAAACGTTCTAAGGAGAATTGTTTTGTTGCAGAAACTTTATGTTTGCAACCTTCACATTTATATCCCATATCCTCTAATCTTTCACAGGCAAAATATGTTTCTAGAGCCTCATCTAAAGTATTTGCCTTCCTTATGTCTAGCAACAGGTCTTGAAAATGCTGGAATGTTATTGACACATGGCCACATCGCAAACATTTGACTGTGGTTCTTAAATAACCACCAAGAATTTGGTTAAATGGTGTCGTTTCTTTAGTATATTGATCAAATTCTTTGCTTAATTTAAAACGTGACAAATATGATTTTTCCATTGCTTCAACAAGATGTCGCAAAAACTCATGAGCATCCTCTTGTCTACCAGGTACAAAGTGACGGCATATAATTTTTAACTTAGAATATATCAACCAAGGTTTACTAGGAGAAGAATTACTTTGACAGGTAAGCAATGTTTTAGTCATTGCACAAATGATACATCCCCCTTGACCACCTCCTATAAAATTAAAAAAAAAAAATCTTTCTACTTTCTTGTGATGGTTCAGTGATTTATTTGAAAATAGTCTTAATGGGCAAGATTATAAAAGCAATTTTAAAACTCACTGTTCACAAAATATAAGTTCTAACAATAAGAAATATCAAAGTCATATGATAAAAATTGCATCATAATGAACAATTCAATGAATGCTCCATATAACACGTATTTGATCAACTTTACATATTGAGAAATAGTATTTTTGAACAATCTATTTATAAAAGTTTAATAACATGTTGTTACTTTATTGCGGTTATAGATTAAAATTCCACATATTTTGCTTACCATTGTCCTCGCATGAACTACTATGTTCTGTATCAGAAATAAGCCAATTTGCTAAAGAAGGAACATGGAATAATGCTTGTAATGTAGAGTTTAAGTAGCAAGTATTTCCCATATTAACCATTCCTGATCCAGGATTCCATCGTCTATTATTTGACCATCCCAACTGAACTGATTCTTTTGGAAATAAAATCTTTTTAGGTTTAGGTAATAAAACCTCTTTATGTGCTGAAATAAATATAAATGCATATTATTAAAGTTTATATATATCTAACAAATAATGTAGTTAATTTAATATGACAATATCTTTATATGAAGAAAATTTATAGTAGCAGTTATTAAGAATAAAATTCATAATATATCTTAGATTTCTTTTTCATTAATGTGAATCAAACACAGATTTTTTCTTGACTATTCGAATGATGTTTTACTCCTAAAAATCGTTGTTTATAACATAAATTCTAATTAAATAAAATTAAAATGATTTGTTTATAAAGAAGACCTAAAATATTCATGCTGAAATTATGTTTATGATATAGAAGCATGCAACACATTAATTTTAACTCTGACCAAATTTAACCTATTTGTATAACCACAAACTAACCTGGCAGACCATTTTCAGACTCTTTTTCCTGATTTTTTTTATTAGTGTTGAGTATAATATATTTACGTTTTAGAGCATCTAAATTATTTGCTTGATAAGTCCCAGAATCCTCGTATTCGATGTGTGTCATGAGTACTCTTTTGGCAGAAATGACAAGTTTCCGATCTAATTGATCTCGTGAGTTTTCACTTGAACACAAACTCTCCAGCAAAGCTGTCCTTACTGCTGGTTGATCACAAATAGAAACTGGCATTTTTTGACAATATATACATAAAAACTTTTAGCAAAACGATTTTCTGACAATAGGCGCCAAAGCTTTTGTTAACAAAGACGAATTTTTTTTTAACATAAAACCCAAATATTCGTCACTAGATCTCACATTTAACGAAACATAAACAATTGATTAACACTTTGAGAATAAATATTTTGTTGTACTTTGTGTTACATTGCAAATACATGTGGACTTGCGTTCTTCGTATTTATTGAAATCGGATATAAATTAATCTGCAACAAGGCCACATAACTTCTTTCGCACCGGCTTGAATTTAGCTTTTATTGTTCAACCGCTGTACTCAACATACACTTATACTATATATGCAATTATCGTTACATTGACAAAATGCTATTATTTAATTGGAAAGCTTTTATAAATTTATGCTCATCTATAGATTTCTTTATATTTCGACATGAGAAAGCTTTCCAAAGTATCACTTGTATGGTGTTACCATATGAGAATTCAATTCACTAAATATTATCTTATGGCTCAATGAAATAGTTTAATTTTGCGATAAAATAAACATGCTCAAAAATAACTAAGCTTATTAAAATCTAACTCTTTTAAATTTCTGAGTCAATTTTATTATGAAGGAGTGCGTACATGCCGGCATCATAATCGAATCCCGTGTTCCATGGCCATTACATTGTCTAGGCCGTTACAATACTCAAATTGGTTATGTTGGCTAAATTGTCCTACGTAATTTCAGGCCGAAGCCGGTAAAGTAGGTAGTACTCGTAAAATGTCCACAAAACTGTCACGTATATCGTTTAAATTTAAAAAAAGGATGATATATTCAAATTATTTTATTCTGGAGAAATTGATTAAAGACTAAAAGACTAGTCGTGCAGAGTCTGGACTTGCTGATGAAACTGATAAGGTTTTAAAATTGAGTGAGGGTTTTGAAATGTGTTTTGGAAAAGTCACTGTGAATAGAAACGCATCATTTCTTCTTACTACAATGAGTTTTTAAGAAGAGTCACATCAGGTTAGATTTATTTTTAAAAATAAAATGCATAGTTACTACAAAAATTTATATTTTGAATATAGATATTTTTCACTGTAATACTAAACATAAATAAATATTATTTTTTGGAATTATCTTCTATCGATTTTAGATCCCTGATCGAAGGTTTCAAAACCTCTAAAAATAAACTGTCCTTCAGAGTATTTTCTGAGTTCAGTATATTAATGCCAGAAACAAGTTTTGTATTTATTTCATTATGTACATTATTATTCTCATTTTTTTGACAATTCTCATCTTTTTCTGTGTGATATGTATCTCTCTTAAGTCTATCATAATGATCTTTATTTTTATCAAAATGTGATATTTCATTTTCAACTTTTTGCTTAGTATTATTGTTTAGTAGTGCTATTGGCACTTCTTGAATAGGTTTTGTTAAATTGATCTTCATATTCATTTCACTATCTATCTTTTTCTTATTCAACTCCAGCTGCATAACTTTTTGATCACTTTCTACCTTTTTGATGTGTGACGCAATTGGCACTGCTTTTGCAACATTATTTATGTTGGATTCAACATCTTTGCTAATTTTTGGAGAATTATTTTGAATACTTGTATCAATTTTTTTATCAACCACCCGTTTCTTTTCAATGTCATTTTGAACAACATCATCAGATTTTTTTTTATCCTGCATTGGTTCTTTGACAACTGAGTTTAAATTATTTGTCTTTATTTTTGAATCATTTTTCTCTATTTTATCATCTTTTGATGTCTGTATATTTTTAATATTCATATTAACTAACAAATTGCTATTTAGAACAATTTTGCTTTCAAACTCGTCATCTAACTGTTGTTTTTCTTTTTTAATTTTTTCTATTATTATGGCTTCAGTAATGACCTCTGACTTCAATTTATTGTCACCTTTATTTATTATCTCTTTATCTTCTTTAGATGATTTAATATCAATTTTTGACTTCCCCTCTACCATGAGTTTGGTACTTTCCAATAAGTTATTCTTCTCTAAACTAATTTCATGGTCTTCCTTTTTAATGGCGTCAACACTAATTTCATTTGGGACTTTGTCAATTCCCAATTTGATCGCTGTATCTTCATTATTATCCGTTCTTTTGGTTTCTATTGGTTTTACCTCATAAAGAGTTTTATCATTTGATATTTCTTCTTCTTTCTTTACAGTTGCTTCTTTAATAAGTTCAACTACTTGCACTAATTCATCCTTCTCTACGGGTAATGGGGGAGATTCAATTATTTGATCTTTAGGTAATGTTTTAATTATTTTATTGTCAGGTTTCAATAACCTATCAATTTTTTCATCATTCAGAATCACCTCTGAATTTTTATTTATAGTTGATTTTTCATCTAACTTCATTTTTACCTCATCCAAGGGCACAAGCACAATTTCATTTTTCACTAAAAGTTAGGTAAATATTGAAAATAATAAAAAAATTAAGTTTCTCACAAAAAATTATGTTTAATTTTACCAATTGAATCTTCTGAGTTAATTGATGCAGCTTCATCCATCGCATATAAATTTGCATAAGTTCCAAATATCATTATTAAAACACCTGTTACAAGGACTACCTAATTCAGAAAAAAAGTATAATTAATGTAAAATTAAAATTTAAGGTGCATTTTAATGATATTTAAATATTGCAAATGAATTCAGTCTTCTGAAAAATAAAATACCTATGCATTTCTTACTATTGAAATATTTTTGTGCTTTGTTATACCTGGGCAAGTAATCTCTCGTTAGTTTGCTTAGTGACAACTTTCACATAACATGCTGCTGGTAATAGCACACAAACTGCAACACCCATCGTAGAACCTACTAAACCCAAAACAAGTTCGATGGAAGGAATGGCCATGGCTACTGCGAGACCCACAGCAACTATGAAAATAGTTAAACAGCGAAAACGCCTTTCAGGCATGACTGTTGGTAGCACCTCATGCTGAGATGTTACCTGGAAATACAATACAAACATTGACCATATATAATAATTTTGGGGTATAGTGTATATTTTGCATTAATCTGCAATGATATCTTACAAAATGCAGGACTTACTAAATTATATTACTATGTGTTTAGTTTGAAAAAGAAAAACATGCAGATGATAAAAAGATATCACTACAATAGAAAATTTCTTACCCTTCTAAATAAGAGTGAATAGAGACTAGATCTGCAAGGAAATATTGCTAGAGGAAAACTAAATGCAACCGACAAAACAAAGCCCATCTTGATTATGTCACTCATTGGAGTAGGAGAAAAACTCAAGAGAATATTTCCTCCAAAATGCTGATGACAGAATGCTATATATCTAAGGTATTTAAGTATAATTATTAGACATACGTTGAAATATAATTTTATATTGACATGTTATGATTGCAATCATATTTACCCAAAAGATCCAACTAAAATATAAACCATAGAACATATATTTATTGCCCATTTAACAACCAAATTCATTTTTTCTAAAGAAGCATTCTCCATACGACTGTATATTTCAAAAATCTGCCTAAAAGTAGATTTAGGTTAGCTAAAAATTTGAAACATTCTTTTTGTGATACTTATATCATTACGTTTGACAAAATAAAGCCATTGAAAATATTGGGAGGCATTGAAGTATGCCTGATGGATTCCATAATTCAACTTTATCAAACCAATCTGAGTCACTAATGTGTTGAGTTGATTCAAGCATTACCTAAAAATTAATTAGTATTACTAACACGCTAAAGTAAAATCATTTTCATGATTGCATTACCCCACAGAGAGAATATTAAAAAAAAAATTTCAGATTGCAATACAATATAAAGATTTCTAATTTCATTACACATATACAGTAACACTTATAAAATAATAAACTCATGAATTAAATATATTTTTTAATTTATTTAAAAAATTAATTGTTACTACATACCTTAATAACCAAGCAAATGTAAAATCCTATTGTAACGGTACAAATGCTTGATAAGCTATCTACATTTCTTAATAATCCTAAAGGTATAACACAGCCAATTGTAATTAAAATTAACAGCCATGATCTTAATGATTGACTTGATTCTATATTAAGAGCCTATAATAAATAATATATCAATTTATTAAGACCAAATTATAATAAATTGTGTATACTGATTCTGATGTTGTTGAATTGATTTTAAAAATCGAAGTAAAGATAGGTTCTAAACAGTTACATTAAAAGTAAATTAATTAAAATATATTATATGATGAGATCATGACATACTTTTGCAATGATTTCGGGTCCCAAATCACCAACCACAACAAAGAATGCAATTACTGTACCCATTAGGAAACCTATGATACCTAGTTCGACCAATAGTTTTCCAGTGGAACCGAGAGCATGGAATGCTGTAAATGTCGTTTAGTTTAAACAAGTTTAATAATGTGTATGTAACCTAAGATATTTACCTAAAAACTCAAAGTTTTTTCTCCTAGAATAAATCGAAGCCTTCAATAGAAAATGACAAGACAGTCTGGAAATTATGCTACTAAGCAAAATCATAATAATTGCTAGGATAATACCGCACTGGAAAAATAAACAAGTATAATTTTTTTGATTTTTTATGGGATCAATAAAATGGTACACATACTTTTTGAAAACAAAAGGGCATTGCTAGAACACCTACGCCAATTATACTATTCGCCAGAGTCATAACATAATTAATGCAATTACCCATTTTTAATTTTTAGCACAAACATAAAAAATATATATTAAACTAAATATATAAATATATCGACCATAATGCAATTGATAACTTAATTTCACTGGTAAATTTACTCAAAACATCTTAAGTTAATTGATAATTACATGGTAAAAAAATAAATATTGTAACCAATACGTAGCCGAAATGCTACATGTCAGATTTTGACGCAAGTCAAACAAGTCAAATATCAACAATGATATCAACAATGTGCGCAGTGTGCGCCACATATTCGTTGCCAGGTCAGAGCCAGAGTGGGGTTTAAAAAAAGTTTAGAGCGCAAGCCTTTTATCCTGGACAATATTAGAATATGCGATCTATTCATATTCCTATGTATGCCTCTTATTATAGAAATATTTTAATTAAATACTTATGTGAAAGATAATTGAAACTAGCTGTAAGTGGAATTCTGTCTTAAGGTAATTAATGCATCGTGCCTTAAGGCAAATTGCTGGAACTTTCCGTACCAAAAATTATTTTTTTAAAAACGATTAACATTTTTGAACAAAAATTACTTTGAAAAAATAAGATTTTTGACAAACAATTAGACAAAAATTTACATTTTTTTTTTTTAAAAAAATTTTTTTATTTTTTTTTTTGAAAAAAAAATGTTTTCTTTATTTTGACATATTTTGAAAGATCTAAACTTTTTTTCAAAGCAATCGTACTGCTTTAACTGCATGAAGACGAAATATCAAACCGCGTAAGCGCCGCGTCGACGTCTAACGCGTAAACATTGGTACGGAACCCATAGGAATGTAAACCAAAATTATACTTATTGTTAAAATCTCTATAAAATATCTGATAATTTGATGTGCATATGTCTAATGATCATTTTTGACCGCCAAATGACATTTTTTTTTACTTTTTTCATTAGATCTCCAAAACCGCTAGACCTGCCTTTATGAAAATTTAATCGGTTCTTCACCTTGTCAATACAAGTAAAATGTTTTTTTAAATTATTAAAATCGGACGCTCAGTTCTCTTAAAAACTGAGTTACCGTTTTCGGCACTTTTTGCCCCGTATCTTCGGAACGGCTAGACCTGACTTCGCCAAAAACTAATCAGCACGTCTCCTTATCAATACGAATCAAATGTTTTTTGAATTATTCAAATCGCTCGATCGGTGTTCCCGAAATCGTCGACGAAAATTTGTATCCACACATACATACACACACGCACACACACATACATCCATTTTTTTTAAGGTATGCCAAAACATTCAGAAGCCTGTGAAACGTCGAGAAATTTTCATTTTCGATTTTTTTGCGATTACTATAACTTGCCCTACGGGAAGTTAATAAAAAGTAAAACAAATTTTTCTCCAAGATTTCAGCAGAAACCAAAATTTATTCAGTTACCGTAGATAATTAAGATGTTTGCATACATTTTATAAAATTTTAAATAAATAACAACATAAAAAAAAAGAAACAATGACCAGGAGAGGAAAGCGGAAGAAAAGAATCTGGTAAATATAGCGCCAGCTGTAAGAAGTGGCAGAGTATGGAAATAAAATGTGTACGAATATAACATAAATTTAAAAATATAAATAAAAGATTATACGTACAAAAATAAACAAATTGCGATAAATAAATGTAGAACATATATACATAAATTATTCAAGTGTGTTACAGATATTATATCTATTATTGTAAATATAGCAATGTGACGAAAAATTCAAATGCTTTTACTTATTGGTTAGACTGTGCCAGATTTATATCAGGAAATTTCCTGTATATGACATCTGTTTCATAAAAATGGTTAGTACAGGACCGAAAACATTAGGGTAATGTTTGACAAAGTTTTTGCCGTTTTATTTTTATGAAATTTTCAAAGATATTTATCATATCAGTCATATGTTCATGTGTTCAAGAATCTTTATTTTATATAGCAATATAATATATAATAAAATAGAAAATATAAATTTATATTTGTTTACTAAAGCTTTCAAAAATATGTTCGGTCATCGTATTTTACAGAAATTGTGACAACTTTAATGCAATAAATGTAACTGTAACATAAGTTGAAACAGAGTTTTTGAATGAAGTCCAACACACATTTCACACAGTTTACCGATAATGTGCATATCTCAATGGTTTTTCTATGTTTTTAGTTTTACTACTTTTTTTTAATGGTTAATTGTATTGTAAAACACTATATTTCATCATTATGAAATAGGTGATTAATCAGAAATGGAGCAAATAAAATATTTGAATTTTATAATTATATTAATTTTTTTTCATGGTTCCTTTATAATAAATTAATCGAGTATTCAATATTATGTACATTCATTTTGTTAAAAAAATAATAAATTAAATTTCATATGAGTAAATAATTAAAAGCATGCTTTTGGATTTATTAATTTATTTGATAGCAATTGGGCTGCTTTTCATATAGTTATTAGACTACAACATCAATGTGCACAATTTACATGAATATGCCTGATTTATTGTGATCACAATAAGCTGATAGTAATTAGAACCAGAATAAGAGCTTAGGCAAAACAGAACACCTTTAGAGCAAACAAATAAAATCACAAAAATATAAGATATTTACATTAACTATACTTGTTAATTTTAAAATAATATACTATCATTCATAATTTATCGATCTTCTGGACGAATTTTTGCTACTCTGGGGTCATCAGGGCGATATACTGTAAAAAAAGACCATGGTTAAAAATAGAACTGAAAGAAAAAACAGTGAAAATGCATATTTGTGCTTAAAAATATATCTCATATGATTCATATCACTATTAATACATATCTCAAAATATTATAATCAAGGTTATGGCATCTGATTTAGCTAAGATATTCCAACTTATAACATAGATTATGATTTCACATGAAAGCAGTAGAACTGAAAAAGACAACTAATATTTTTGATCTCAACTTAGAATTTTGATTGATCTGTGCCCTGTTAATTGATTTATTTGATTTCCATTAAACATGGAAACATTAAAGATTTGAAGTCGAATATATGAAAATTAAACGATAAAAGATTAGCCATTGAATCACATTCATGTAATATGTGTTAGCCCTTTTTTGTTATAAATAAATGTTGTATGAATTATTTTACAATCATTAAATTTCAAGCAATGAAAGAATATTCATTTGGTGTAAAAAAAGCATTTCACTGTAGAAGACTAATTTTATGATCACGTAGAAATTGAACTATAATATTTACAAAGGAACTTATGTAAATCTATATTACTTTTCTTACCAACATATCCCATTCGATATTTTCTGTAGTCTCCACCTTCAAGTACATAGGTTCTATAAATGGCATAACAGCTGATGCCAACTCCAGCCAGTCCCATGGCAGTACTAAGCATTACTTCTGGAATTTCATTCCATCCTTGCCTCCATAAAGTACCCACTGGATATAACATAATTTTTATTTATTATTAGGTTATATAACCGTGATATTATATATAATTCGATTTAAAATGCTAACAAATCCCAAAACTTACATGATCTCCTAGCAGCCAAGCTTGCCGACATGGTTTTTTAGTATAATTCAGTATTTATTTGTAATTTATTCTTGTAATCTTAAAATTATTGAAAATTGTATGTCTGACGTCTTGGGAAAATATCTAGAAAGAAATACTACACCTGTCAAAACCAGTTTGACACAACGCCAAACGGCGCGAATTTCAAATATATATAAATTAAGATGTTATTAATATGTTAATTTTTACAATATAAGTATTTTAAATTATTTTTTATCTTAAAAATGCTATGTAAATAACTTATTTTAAAAGTTTTACCTCTAAGTTTGCAAAGTTGTGAAAATATTTTTCACAACTGTCATTTTATACAAGGGTTTGATAGAACCTTCATCAATTGTTTTCCAAATTAAATAAAAATGTAAAAAAAAAATATAAAAATGTTTTAGTTAAAGCTTTTCAAAAATACAAAATTTATGTTATTATTCTATTGACATAAATCCCTTTCCACTACAAATAAATCAAAGGTCAACATGCAATAAGATTTATCAAAAAAAATGTTTATACGTCGGAATATTTAGTTATAAATTTTTCAAAATTTCAAGTAAAATAAGTTTTCTATAATCTAAGCAATATGATCAGAGCCGTCATTTTGGGTGCTCCGGCATCAGGAAAAGGAACAATTTCTTCAAGAATAACCAAAACTTTTAATATGCAACACATTTCAAGTGGTGATAAATTAAGAGCGCACATTGAGAATCAGACTGGTAATAATGACTATAAAAACGATTATATTTATAGCTATTTTATATAATATTTACTCAATTTATGTTACTGCAGATTTAGGCAAAGTAGCAAAAAAGTATATTAATGATGGGCGACTGGTTCCTGATAGTTTCATGATCAAATTTATACATAGAGAAATTGCTAGTGCAGGATCTATACCTTGGTTATTAGATGGTAATAATAATAATAATAATAAGAAAAAAAAATTAAGGCCTAGGATATATTTTCCTCAGGTCTAGGATATAGTATTTGGATTACCAAAATTGCCTTGAGAGATTTGTATTTATATTATAAACAGTAATTGATGTTTCATAAATGTAAATTAAGTTTTAGTTTCTTCTAAATTTTTAGTTTTAAGTATTTATATTGCTTACCTAAAGTAAATGATTATATATTTGAGATTGGCACAGTGACACATAGTTGCCGGTCACATCAAGATTTCTTAATTTTTTATATTTTAAATTTATTTGTATATATATCTTCAAATATTTAGTACTTATATTTATATTTCTTAATTGACTTGTTTGGTATTCCAAGTACTAACATACTTAAAAACAAATCTAAATTTGTTGGAAATAAAAGTTTAATATCTTTTAAGTATTTTTTTTCACTGTGCAAGCCAATATATTTTTAGTTCATATGTAAATCATATTTCAATTAATATATATTTTAATATTTGTTGGCTATATTTTTTACAGGATACCCTAGAACTCTGCCACAAGCTGAAGCTCTTTGGTCAGCTTATCCTTTAGATATGGTCATAAATCTTACCGTTCCATTTGATGTTATAATAGACAGAGTAAAAAGCAGATGGATACATTTGTCAAGTGGAAGAGTTTATAATGTTGGATTTAATGAACCTAAAATACCCGTTAGTATAAAAAATTATAAATATGAAAGCAATAATTCTTTATTCCAAATTTATTTAATTAAAGAAATTTTTATAGTAAAAGAATGTTTTTGTATATGTAAACGAAATTTTTAAAATGTCCACCACCTGAGCTTTGTAAAAATCTTATGAATGATTTCCCAAATTCTTATAATTGGTATTAATTATTAAATTAATATGTTCAGGGCAAAGATGATATCACTGGTGAACCATTAGAACAAAGGGAAGATGATCAGCCAGCATCCGTCAAAAAGCGTCTCACAATATATGAAAACTTGACTAGACCTGTGATTGAATTTTACAGAAAAAAAGGCATCCTCCATGATTTTAAAGGAAATACTTCAGATGAAATTTGGCCTCACGTAAATATATTTTATCTCGTAAAATATTGCAATCATTCTATATTCAAATGTAATTTTAAATTAAAATTAAAGGTGCAGAAACTTCTAAATAGATATAACCAATTGAAATTCATACCGGAGTTGGAAAAACTAAGAAGAGATGATACAATGAGTCGAAATTTATAGACACTCAACATGACTAACAAAAGCATATGTACTTCAAGAATTTAATTTTAATGACAAATTTTATTTTAAGCATATTCATAAATGAGTTATATTTTTGTAAACAAAATATTATCTAATATTTTCATATACCGCACAAAATTTTATTGTCATGGGTAGTAACGCTTGGCTGTGAGAATTATGACATTAAATTTAATGAAGTGAACTTTATATCAATAGTAATAAGGAAGAGCAATTGCTACTTTACACCTGTTATCTCACATGAATAAGGGGTAATATTTATTTCATACGTAGTATTCATGATTATTTGCAGTAGGAATTGTAAGGGTTGTATTCCACAGTTGCTAAATATCATATTCAGAGCATTAGTACAAATCAAACTTTTAAATTATAGTTTGCTCAATAATATTTCTGATCACTATAACAGATTAATTAACAAGCATTAATTTTCTGTGCAGTATATATAGTTTAGTAATACTTGGATGGCAAATAGGTATTTACTCATATGCTGATATGTTGCTCTTTAATTAATTGAGTTTTTCAAGTCAAGTTTTTCAAAAGTAGCAGAAGCAAATGAAAAATTACACTGGAAGCATATTTCCAATTATATATATTTAACATCAGTTTATTTGCAGATTATATTTTGAGTGCAACACAGTTAAAATAAACTTATATCAAAAGATTCCCAAGTGCATGATCTATATTATATATTATATATATAAACAAAATGTGTGGCAGAATAATTATTCAAATTAATTAATTAGTAATACAACTTTAGAATTATTTGGCCCATGTTTAGCACAAATACAGCAAATAACTATTACCTACGTTTATCACAATATTAAGTTTCACAATTCTAAAATAATGTATTTTATGGTAAGAAGAAAAAAACTATTCTTGTTTTATAAATATATAATTAAATAAATAAAGTAAAAATTATAAATTAATTACATTTGTTTTCATTAATTTATTGAAATGAGGCAAGCTTTGAACACTTTGCGGTAACATATAAGCTTCAATGAAAATTAGAATTTTTTCTTTCCTATTTACAATTTACCAAAACAACATTTCTACATTTAAAAGCTATGCATATGTAATAGATTTTTTGGTTAAATTTATATTTTATAAACATTTCTAATTTGCCGCTTAATTTTTTCATAAATAAACTTGATTATTAAATTGCACAACATGGCAATATAAACTTTGAATACAAAACTTAAACAATTCATCTATCACTTGTGCTTAGAAAATGACACGATACTAGTAAATAAGTAAATGATGTGCAAGTGATATGCAGATGATATTTCGCAGATCTTGCAAATGTATTTGTCATGAAATTTTAATGAATCTATAGATAACATATTTTAGAGGTGATTTAAATATACTTACTTATCTATTTATTGATTTCCTTGATGATAGAATGTTAACACTTGCCAAATGCAATAAAATGCCTTCAGAGAAGTTCAAATTCTTCTGTTTCAAAGTCGCTATCACTTTGAAGAAGTTGAGAAGATGGACAATATCTGGAGATATTTAGAGGCGTTCCTTGGGCTTGTGTACTTTTTCCTTCACAAAATACAAACATTGGATATTCGCTGGATCCAGGAACACAACTGGGTGGAACTAAGTACTGTAACAAATTAAGTAAAAACACTAAGAACTTAAGTAAGAACTAAGAACACAACTGGGTGGAACTAAATACTGTAACAAATAAGTAAATGATAAGTAAAAACAAAAAATTGTGAAATCTAATATCTTAAATTCAATTCATTTCACTAAAATTTATTTTAATACAAACGTACTACTCTACTACTAATCTACACAATTTTACTTAACACAACTAAATTATAACAAAAATGTGCTAATTTTACTTAAATAATCATATAGTAAAGATGAAAATGAACTTTAGAATTCTTGAAGTAGTAGAATATAAACTTAATACAAAATATGATAAAAATGACACTAAAAAGCAATTAATTTTGACTAGAAATCGGAATCAGAGTTTTAAAAATTAATTTTCAATTATTTTTGTACATTCTTTTAAGAGTATATAAGAAAGAATACAAATATATTACGAATACCTATAATATTTGTTCAAAAAAAATGCTTTATTAAAATATTCTCAAAAAAATGATGAATTCATTTAGTTATGATTAATGTAAAAATTTAAATATTTAATTAATCTTTGAAATTTTTATCAATTAATGCTAGTTTTCTACATACCTCTTGTATATTTTGTACAAACGATTCGAATTCATGACGAGTTGGTAAATAAAACCTATACAACAACTGGGATCTATCTTTGAGAGATTCATCTTCCGAGGACTTTTACAATGGAATGACTGTAATGGAAAATCTGGTACCCACACGTCTACAGCATCCTGGCAGTAATGTGGATCCAAATGTATTAATTTGTCATCTGAAATTGAAAAAAATATTGTCAAATATGTACAATTCTCGCCAATATACACCAACATTATTAATTATCCTATATATATATTCATTAATAAGGTATCAGTTATACTGTGAATTAAAATTTTTAATACAGCTTCTTGTTTGGAGAACTTATATTTATAAAAACTGTAAGAATACAATTCTAAGAAGTTATCAAAAATATATAAAGATAAAACTAATCAAATTTACCTTGATATCCTATAAAATATAAGGAATGCCTTGGCCTTCCACCAATAATACCTATACAACTTTCCTGACTCAACATAGCCAGCAAACAAGGACCATAAATTTGATTTAATTTCTCTGCTCCTGCAATTTAGAATAACATAAATAAATCATTAACATTTTCGTATCAAGGTTTTGACATAATTGATGAATTATTTTGAGATTTACCTAATCTTAATGGTACTAAAAGAACTAGTGCTTTCCAAGCAGAATTTGTACTGACTCGTTCAGTATTACTTTGTGAACTTGAAGATTTCTGTTTCCAAGGTGGTGTAGCATTTATTTTTGCAGTAGGTTGACAACAGTCCAAAACATCTTGTAAATACACTGTAAAATTAAAATTATTTAAAATAATTATTGAAAGATTACACTACTCTCATATTAATTTGCTTTTTATGAATGGAATGATTTAATTCTGAATAAAATAACTTATTTTTCGATTTAGTATTTAATTCATTATAGTTGTAATGAATTTGACAAATTAACTTATTAATAAAAGTAATAAATATTTTTTTATATTTATTAAGAATGAAGCATGTGATATTATTTTATAACTTTTATAAATATGACACGTTTATATATATAACTTATAAAATATTGTAGACGTAAGCTTTGCTTTATTGCAACCATTTGAATGTATTGGAAAAATTAAAATAATATTATAAGTTAATAAGAAAGCTATATACTATGCATTATTACTGAAAATTATTTTATAAATAAATATAAACTGTACATAAAAAATTATCTCATATGTAATTAAAAATTTAATAGTAATAGTAATTTTAACAATTTCTCTCATATTTGTGGAACAAATCTAATACTTAAAATAAGCAATACATATGAACTGATAACCTTGTAATATTCTAAAAATAGAACTAGCAAATATTGTTATTATAAACTGATTACAAATTCTCACCTGCGCAATCTTGAGCAACATAAACAGCGAGATTATCTAATTCGGTGTTTTCTTGAGCCGCTTGCTGAACCGCTTGTCTGTAAAAAAGTAAGTGAATCTAGTTTGAAATATTGCTTCAGAAAATACTAAAATTATAAAAGTTGGGTTTTTGATAAAACCTTCAGAAAACCATATAAAATAAAATAAGTAGACAATAATGCGTTTCCTAGCAAATCTTGCAACAACCTATCAAGAGCTTGAATGATTTTTTTAATGAGCTATTGTCTATTTTACAGTCAGTTTAATTTTTAAATATTTCAAGCATTCCTCATTATTTGAAAATATTAATATCAATGATAAGTTCAAGACATAATGAATCGGAGAAAAATCATGAGTCTTCTTTTTTCTACAAGATTGTGGATGGCATCATAGAATCACCAGAACTATTAGCAAAAATATAATTTGTCACACCTAGACAAGGACTTCGATCAAATAGAATTGCCAATAAAACTAAATCCTCAAAGAAAACGTGCGTAGTTAGTATTCAAATTTATATTAGTAGATTTTTAGTTATAAACTTAATAAAATTATTAGTGTAATATTATAAATTTACTGTACGTAGCCGATTGGCGTATATATAAATAAATAAATAATGATCTATGCTAATATGCCATCCAATGTAGAAGTTAATTTATGTAATTTTTAGGAAAAAAAAGTTGCCAAGATCAATCTAGAAAAGAACATTTTCTCAATTTCTCCCTGCGCATTCAATATATTATTTAATATATTATTTATATATTATTCGATTAGACATATGATATGTTTCACTAGAAATAACTAGTGTTATGAAGTGATTGAAGATAATCAGTATTTGCTTCTGAATGCATATATCAGCATTTTAGCGAAAATAAATACATACAAATATTAATAAAAGTACAACCAAAATCATCAAACAAAATATTATCTCTACTGTACATTTGGTCTTTTGTAAAAAAAATCAATAAACTGATCTAATAAAATATTGAAAAATATAAAAATGAATATAATCATATTAACAAAAATAGATGACAAAACAATATATGGGCCCGTCCTGGGGTCTTCAGCGTTGCATACCATTTTTTTAGCACTCTTATTTTAACTGGTTTAACAGTTTATCATTAAAATTATATAAATATTAAGGTTATTTTTTCAAATACTTCTTAATAATTCTGGATTTAGTACACAAAGAATTAGATAGAATCTAAAAGCACATTCATTATTAATTTATTTAGAAGATCGAAGCAAATCGCGGGTGCTCATAATCAAATTGTCGAGGTTTCTTTCGTTGTCGCACTACCGAACTATTCTTAAATTCTTAGATTTCAATTATTTTTAACGCATGTGTAATATTAATATTTGGATTTTGAAACATTTTACTTACGTAGTTTGAGGATTTTATGCAATTTATTCCAATGAGCAAATAAAAGAGGCCCAAAAAATGTTAGCCTTTCATTATTAAACATAACACTGATAATTCATGTTGGATTATTTTGATTTAATTTTTCATAATTTAAAATATCCAAAATTGCATCGTAAATTTCTCCTAATAAGGACGAAAGTGTATGTATTCATCTTTACCTTCCCATCGTATATCAGATTGTTGTTTTAGAGTTAAAATTTTAACGTATTTTAAAAGCATTGTCCAAAGATTAGTAGAAAACGCAAAGAAATTATATGTTTCTTGAATGTTTTTCAAAGAACTATATTATACATTTCATATCATAATCTCGTGTTGGCGCCCCCTAAGACGTGCGCCCGCATTTTGCATGCATTGCATTCAAAGTGGTCCTATATATATATACATATATATATATATATATATATATATATATATATATATATACAGTTCAAAAATATTCGGTTGAGATAGTATGGGATAGAAAAGTGCTACTACTAATGACTATCAATAAATATTTTGAGCAAGTTTCATGCATGATATAATTATTATTTTTATATTGCACAAAGTAAATTATTTCGCAGTTAGGTTTGGCGTTCAGTAATAAATAATAAATTATAAATTACTTTAAAAGATGTGCCACAGCCCCTGGTCCGTACCAGTCACCAGCCCGTCTGCCGGCCTGCTCTCCAAGGGCTACCAATGCGTGTATGGAAAGCGGGCTGTTCTTGGAGGATTTGTCTCCGAACCATTTCACAATCATTCGATGCAACCTGTCTTCTTGAAATGCAGCAGCAGTCATGTGCATCCCACTGCGTTCACCATGCCAACGCCAGCCTGAGAAAAATATAATGTAAAACTTAGTAGCTAAATAGAATAACCAGTGGTGCCTTAAGGCAAATTGCTGAAACTTCCTGTACCAAAAATTATTTTATTTAAAAAAGACTAATTTTTTTTGAAAAATTTAATTTTGAGAAATTTTGAATTTTTGAAAAAAAAATTGACTTTTTTGGAAAAAGAACTTGAAAAAAATGTTTTCTTTATTTTGAAATATTTTGGAAATTATGAAATTTTTGTCAAAGCAATCGCATTGCTTAGGCTGCATAGAGACAAAGTTACTGAACTCATAGAAAGGTAAACACATTATTAAAAAAAATGATACAGATTATTAAAATCTTTATAAAATACCTGATTATTTGATGTGCAAACGTCTAATGATTAATTTTGACCGCCAAATGGTATTTCATTTTACTTTTTTTACTAGTTCTCCGAAACCGCTAGACCTGTCTTCCCAAAAATTGTATAAGTTTTCGTCTTGTCAATACAAGTAAAATGTTTTTTGAATTATTAAAATCGGACGCTTCGCTCTCTTAAAAAATGAGTTACCGTTTTTGGCACTTTCTGCCCCGTATCTTCGAAATTGCTAGATCTGCCATTACCAAAACTAATCAGCACGTCTCCTTATCAATACAAATTGAATGTTATTTGAATTATTCAAATCGGTTGCTCGGTGGGAAATCGTCGACGGAAATTTGTATCCGCACACACACACATACATTCATACACACACACATACATCAATTTTTTCTAAGGTATGCCAAAATATTCAGAAACCTTTGAA